GGATGCCCTTGGGAAAAGGGCCTTGAGTGGGATGCCCTTGGGAAAAGGGCCTTGCTTTGTGTTTTGGTGACCCTTGGGCAGCCTCCACCTTCCCCGCTCCTCTGCACGTGGGGCTGGGTGGATGTTGTGCTCTATCTACCAGCTAATGAAAGAGGAGCGAGTCTGGGAGATGCAGGGTTGTGTTTCCCATCCTGGAACCTGGAGCTCGCCATTAGTCACTTTGTTTGGAATGGCTGTGGGTTGGGAAAGCTGCCGGTGGGAGCTGGTGCTGGTAAATGCAGCGTTGGTGCGGTCTGGTGGTGGTGAAAAGTGATCTSTGCTGCATGAGGGTGGAGATGCTGTTGTGGCAACACCCGTCCTGGTGAAGGTGTGTGGTCGTTCCCTGTCTTCTGCGTGGGGATCTCTTGGCCCTTAGGTTGGTCTTGCCATGTGTGCCGAAATATCCAGCTGGAGGTGGATTGAAATGGACTTGTGAGGTCAGGGCAGCTCGGGGCACATGTGCTGGTTCTAAGCCCAGGTTTAGGGAGCAATGCCTGTGAAATCTGTCCCTGTGTCCCACTGCATCCAGCCCTGGAGGGCTGGTTTGCTTAGCATGGGGCCTCCAACCCACACTACTGTCAAGTCAAAAATTAGTGTTTCTAAGCAAATGGGAGCTACCTTTCCCAGTGGCCACAGGTGCKGCTAGAGAGGTGGCCAGGCTTGTTCTGTGCTGGTCAGCACCAGAAGCAGAGGCTCCTTTTGGGCTCTCCTCACTTCTGTCACATCAGTGCCCACCTCCGACAAGTCATGAAGCCAGTCAGGACTTAAACTGCTCCTGGCTTCTCTCTGCTTCGCATATTTCCTTAATGGGGAGGCAAGAATTTCACTGTCTTGTGTGCAAAAATCATTTTTACTCTAGTAAGAAGTTGAGCGTTCATGCACTTARCATTCTTTGCAGGGAAAACTGAGTGTAAGATGATGCTAACGTGTAAATCAAAATATTCTATAAAATATTAGAAAGATATGGAGAGAACATCCTGTAGAATAAATCATGTAGTATTCTGTAGAAAATCTTTATGTATTTTTGTAGAAAATGAATCGATTTCCCTTCTTGCAGGTGAGCCATTATGAAAAGCAACTAAATGAGACCAAAATCCACTGTGAAAAGGAGCAAGAAGACACGAGGAAGAAGTGCTCGGAAGAGATGCAGGTCATGGAAGAGCAAATAACTGGCCTGAAAAGCCAAATTGCAGAACTGCAGGGAGAAGCGGCAGCGCTCCGCAAACAGCAAGAGCAGCTTGGCTATGAGCATGACGATGAGAAAAACAGGTTGCAAATGAGCTTCGCTGAGGAAAAGGCCGCTCTGCAAGAAGTGCTCCGGCGGGAACACGAAGCGGACATTCGGGTGAAGCTGGAGGAGGTGACGGAGAGGTTTAGCCGAGAACGGGAAGAGCTGCTTCAAAACGGTGCCTGGGTGGAGGAGAAGATGAGGGTTTTGGTGCAGACGCTGCAGGAAGARAAGGGAGAGCTGGAACGTGGCTTCCAGGAGCAGCTGAGGAGGTTGAGGGAAATGCACGGCCGGGAGAAAGAGGAGCTGCAGCAGGAGCTGCTGAGGAGGCACCAGCGGGAGCTGCAGGAGGAGAGGTGAGTGCAGCGAGCTCTGCAGGCCCCCTTGCTCGCCGGGCTGGCCAGGGCAAAGCTAGTGCAGAAATGGCTCCACGTGCTGGACTCGAGGGCAGTAGCTGTGCAATGCCATTACCTGCTTGATCCCGGAACACCAGGCAGGTATCCAGAGGCTTTTTCCTTTTGAGCTTTCTCAAGCARATATTTATATTGATTTTTAACTCATCGGAGGTAGCAATACTGCCAGAGCATAAACAGCCATGACTGATTTGAGTTCTGCTCAGTATCCCTGTGCACCACAATCCTTTATCCCTAAAAAACATAATCCAAATGCTTTTCTTACCAAAGATGTAGATAGATGAAAGATGAGCACTTTTGACTAGAACATAGTGCCAAAGTAATTAGGATCCTTCAAGGAGGAGAACCTCTGCCTCCGTAAATCCCATTACCAATCTAGAAGGGCATGTCTTGTATAAGAAACTATTTCTAAGGGCACTTCAGAAGTTGCAATTGTTTCAAGGCAGTTAAACTTTGATTTTTTTTTTTGATGTTTCAACAGATTGTGTTAGATTTAATTTTGGCTCTCAGCAGAGCTATTTGACAGGTTTACAGTGAAAATGTAATTTCTCAGATTGTTTTCTTAAGTAGCTTAGACAGCCATTTGAATCTCTCTGCGAGAGAGCCTAGAGTTGAGTAATATTATTATGTTAACCACGTTTAGGAAAAAAATGGAAAGTGACTATAACAGAAGAGCATCTCATGCAGAAACTGAGTTTTCTGCCAACACACAAACACTTGCAAATAAATATGAAGAGACGATCCAAAATCTGGAGGGGCGCTACCAGCGGGAGCTGCATGAGCTTGCCGAGCAGCAGAGAGAAGAAAGATCCCAGTGGGAGTTTGAAAAGGATGAGATTTTCCAGGAGGTTGCTGAAACCCAAGAGCAACTGAAGGAGAGGCTGGCGAATGAGAAGGCTCTTAGTCTTGCTCTAAGCCAGGAGAAGGAGCTTTTGGAGAAACACCTGAAGGAGGAAGTGAACAAGCTGGTGTGTGAAAAGGAACAGCTTCAGAAGGAGCTGCAGGATCTGAGAAACGCTACTGAGAGGCAAGAGGTTGAGTTGAAGGATAAAATAGTGCAACTCCAAAGCGAGCACGAGAAAGAGCTGAAGGACAAGGATGAGTATGTGTGTGTGGTGGAGGAGGACAGGAGGCTGGTGAGCCAGGAGCTGGAGAGGCTCGACAGTGAACATAAGCAGGAGAAAGAAGAACTCAGCTCCAGACTTCTTGCTTTAGAGACCTTAAACAACGAGCTCCGTGTAAGGGCAGAAAGAGAGAAGGCAGAGATGAATTTGGAAATCTCAGATCTGCAAGAAAAAATACAGAAGTTGCAGTGGGAGGCCCTCAACTTTGCTATGCTGCAAAATCATTACAGAGTATTGGAAAACGAATATGCAAAAGCCAAAAGCCAGATCGCTTCTTTCTCTGCTGTGGAGCATCCCGGAGATGACGCCGCCGTCCTGAGGAGCCTGCAGAAAGTGCACGAGCAAGCCGTGAAGGAAAACGTGCGGATGGCCTCCGAGCTCCGCGGGCTGCGGCGGCGGCTGCGCAGGGCGGAGCGCGAGCCGGCGGGACGCGGCGCTTCCGACCACGGAGACACCTCCGAGTCGGAGCAGTCCCAGCCGCGGGACGCACCGGATTCCCTCGCGGAGGGGCTGTCCAGTGACACGGATGAGGGAGCGCACTCGGATGTCTGCCCCTTGGTGGAAGCTGATGTACAGGGAAGTACCATGGTCCATGGTACCATGGTCCTGGCCGCTGCTTGTAGCCACGACTCTGAGAAGATGCAGGAGCTGGTTTCTCTGGTGCCCCTGGCACAGAAGAAACTGAGGGATCTTGAAAGAAGCCTGTCAAGAGTTCCCCGACTAAAGCTGTTACCCCACGATAACAGGCAGAACAGGCATGTGGTGAACAACAGAATAGCCACCAAAAACAAAGGCTTTTTCCTGGATGCTTCTAAGCTGCAGACTGAGCTTGAAGAGGCTGAAGAACTAACTGGTGCTTCTCTGCAGCTGGAGCAGGTTTCTGCAGCGGCTAAGGAGAAGGGTGACCTGAAAAGCCTAATACCTCAGTTTTGGAAGAGGATTGAAGAGCTAGAAGAAAGATTAGCGGCGCAAGCCAAGCTTCTGTCTTTACAGGAAGAAACTCAGGTGGAAAACGAAGGGCTGAAATCTAAACTGAAAGAGTTGGTTGAAAAAAATAAAGCGCTAGAAGACAACTTGCAGAAGCTGAGGAGCCTTCGTTGCAAGCTGGAAGAAAGTAACCTGGAAATGATTGAACTTGGAGAGGGAGAACCACAGCTCAGGAAAGCTGGAAAACTGGAAGACATCCAATATGCACAGGGGAAAATAGAGGCGTCCGGTGAGAAGCTGAGAGTGCAATGCCAGCRTGGAAAGGCTGAAGAGCCCTTAGTGAGAGCTTTGCAAGACAAGCGTGGCCAACGCGATATCCCCCCGGAAGAGAGCTCCAGGGAGGGGAGAGAGCAGCAGGAGCTCCACGGGAAGCCGAAAGCCGCCGCTCCGGGCAGCGCCAAGGCCACGGAGCCGGGCCGCGGGGCCGAGGAGCGGAGCGCGGCGCGCGGCTTGCAGAGCACCTGCAGCGAGCTGCAGCACAAGGTGGATCTTCTGAGGTAACGTACGGCCAGGGGACAGTCCCTGGTAGTCCAGCTCGYCGCTCGCACCGCTTAGAGACTAACCTAGCCATCCCCATCACTTTAACTTCTACTGACCTCCGTGCAGCCGCTGCCTTAACGAGTTTAACGAGTAGTTTAACTTGGGGTAGAGGTCGGAGMCGTGGATTCTAACCGTTGGCAAGCRAGGATAAGGAGYGGGATACGTGCGGCTCGTCTGTGAACGTGATCAATGGGAACAACGGTAAAATTGCTCCAAAAAATGCTCCTGAAAGCAGCAGCTTCTTGAGTTGTGCTGGGAATAGTTGCCATTGCCATGTGTGGTCAGTGATAAACTGGACACCTAAATTTTGCATCACGTGTATGATCATAACACTTCCAGAGRGCTTTTAATCTTCCTACTAATATTGCCTCTTCCTTCTGTTCTCCTGTAGTGCTGAATGTTAACTTGGAATGTCGAAAGCGCTTCAGTTTTCTAAAGATTTAAGGCTAGAAAATGAGTATTTTTTTTTCCCAGTAGGAGGAGCACTTAGTGCTAGGGATGCGTTATAGTGTGTAATAGGGTAAATACCATTACAGCAAAAAGAGTGTAATAGATTATCTGTACTCTTAACTGCAGGGTTTCAGTAAATGCTTTTTAAAGTGGTTGGAAATGACTAATTTTTGTCCAACAATGGCTTCCTGTAAGGGTTTATTCTSAAGAATTACATCATGCCTAAATTATTTCTCTACGGTTGCCTTGGGGAAGACATTTACCAAGTCTCTTATTTTTTTTTTAATTAACTTTGTGCACCCTTTTTTGGGGGAAAGGCGGAAAGGCCGTTTTCCATGGCCTGAGATGCACTCTAAGTGAAATGCAAAATCCATATGCAATTGATGTCTAAAATTAGTTAGGAGTAGCTCTGTTTTTAGATCATCACAGGCAATTTGGCCTTTTTTGCAACTCTTCTCCCTGCGGGCCAAAACACAGCAATGATTTTTCAGTTGTCTCCTCTCTGCCACAGGTGCGAAGCTGAGAAGCTGCGAGAAGAGAATGCCCTGCTGAAAAACGAGGTCACTTTGTTAAATGAGGAAGGCAGCGCTTCCAACCTGAAACTGCGGGAGCTGAGCGGGTCACGAGAAGAGATGCGGTGAGAGCTGCGTGGGACACAAATTATGTGTGGGATTTGGGTTTCCATTGCCCTCACACAGGGTGGTTGCAGCCCTGCTCAAAGCTCTTGCTTGCTAGATGTCTCTCAGAACTTGGAGCAGAAGCATCTCCTGGTGTCATCAGAGATCCAGCCGTCTTCCAGGACGGTCTTTGGGGTTTCTTTGACTTGCYTTGGCTTGTTATGTCCATTCCTACATCTAAATCAGGGGCCTTGGCTTGTTCTGCCCATTCCTACATCGAAATTAGGGTCTTGGTTGATAGGAGGTCCAATGCCCACATTATCATATACGTGATATTGCAGCAACGTTGGACCCACTTGTGAGCAGAGTTAAGGTGATTCCTATGATCACATCAGCAAAGGCAGAGCTTGCTAGGCTTGTTTATCCTTGGAAAAGGCTGGACATGGGCTTAGCCCTCTAGTAAAATAAACATGAGTACTTCTAAAAAGTGAGTACCACCAAACCTATGCAAAACAGTGATGCTAAGCAAAAAAAATCGTCAAAATTAAAATTTCCAGAATGACCAGTTGTAGTGATGAGATGTCAAAAAGCAGCCCATTCTTGCTCTCTGTGTATATTAATAATGAGCTTTGGTAATTAGCTTTGCTAATGTTAGTGAGCTTTCCTTTTTTCTTAGGCAAAAAATAGAGGCGGTAAGAAAGGAGAAGGTGGCTGTGCAGAAGATGGTTGACAACCTGAAAAAGCAGGTATGGAGACTGAGTGTATAATGTTTGTAGCAGTCTTTATGACAAGATAAAGATTTTCATGCAGCAAAAGTGGCATAAAATTATCATAATTTGTTCARCCATCTTGGTCATAACTGTATGTTCCCAGTAACCGGTTTGGGTGGGTATGAGGCTTTCTGACCTGTTCTGAAGGTCAGTGCTACTGTAACCCTTGAGCTCACAGACCTGAGAGCATCTCCATAGTGAACTTGAAAAGCATGCTTAATGGAAATAGTAAAATCTTTCCTTTGTAATCTTTCTGGGCGATGTTCTGCAGTAGCCCATGGGAAATAGCCCATGTAACGCAGCCTCCTCTTACTTCCCAGTTAGCTGACCTGGGAATGCTGGCAGATCCTTTGCACCTCTCCAGATTTTACCGTCCTCCTTTTAGGGGAGTTTTGTGCTAGGCAAATAATAGCAGATTTAAGCTACTCTTATGCTCATATTTGCAATTTAGTAACACCTAGTGAGATGGCACTTGCTCAGAATAATCTACTGGTCTACCAGCATAAACTTGAAGCTAAACACAGCGCGGCAAAGGGGAGCAGRACATGAGTGTGCCATCTGACTGATATAACTGCTCTAACTGAGGCGAATCCTGAGAATCTGACAATTTGAGGCTGCCTTTATGCATCCAGGCTCCTGCTTTTAAGTGTGGTACAACTTGGTTTAAAAATGGGCCATGGAATAAGTGAAATAGGCAAGAAAAGCCATGGAGACTGTTGAGCATGCAGCTGTCATGTCCAATACTAACTATATTCCACTTCCTTGGCCAGATATCAAACCCTTGTGACCCACCAGCATATTTCTTCTTAATTATTTTAATTGAAATATTTAAAATCTGTAGAAGGACTTGGTGTGGAAGTGCTCGTAACTGACCCAGCTGTCTGAATCCAGGTAGTGGATCTGAAAACAAGGAACCAGCAGCTGGATTCAGAAAATACGGAGCTTAGCCAGAGGAATTCCAAAAGCCAGGCGGATGTGCAGGATCTAAATCAACAGCTGGCGAGGGTGCTCAAGCAAAAGGAAAGGGAAGCAGGAAAGCCTTCAGTGGAAGAATGGGAAAAGGAGAGATTGCTACTGAAAGAGGAACTGGAAAACTCTAAAATAAAGGTACAAAATAACACTGTTTCTAATGGTGTCAAAAAATTAATGTTTATGAATAGATGTCACTGGGATTAGCACTCTTTTCTCAAACTGTATATGGGTTTTCCAATCTGAAATTTTCCAAGTGCTAACTGCAAGTGTGGGTGCACCCAGGGATGGGAAGGGAAGACAGGCTATTTTCTGGGTGCAAAAGGAAGGGAAAAAGTATGCAGTCCTGTTTTGCAGGTGGATCTCTGCAATGCTAAATACTCCCACCCCTATGGTCCAGCATGTCTGTCCTGCTCAGTGTGGGACCATCCCAGCATTAGCTCATGTCTGAGGCTGGAGCTTGACCTGGTTAATCTCTGCTTGTCTCCAATCTGAGCCTTTTTTTTTTTTAATCCAGTCTTCAAATCTGGTGTCGTCTTTGGAGATGGAGCTGTCAAAAATGAAAGTCCAAGCTCATATGTTGGAGCAGGAAAACCACATCCTCAAGCAGGAGCTGGAGAAAGCAAAACAGGTACAGCTTATCTGGCTACATGCAGTTAAATACTGGATTTAGTCCCAGGACAGCCAGCAGGGCTTGGCTCTTAGCGTGCCCTGCTCTCTTGCCTGAATTTGGGTGGATTTTAAGGTTTTTGGAAGAAGGACGTGCTGCTCCCTTGCAGCATGTCCTTTAAAGGGGGCATTCCCGCTGCTCCCATCCATCTGGAGACACTGATGTCCCTTCACTTCTAAGGAGAACTTCATGGTGTGTTTGGGAGATGATATGAGCCTGGATCAGTAAGCYGTGAATATATGTTAATAATCATAGATAATACAAGGCTACAAATGAGTTTTAGCCCCCCTTATTAGGGCTCCACAAAGTCATTTTCTTTAGAGAAAAGCACTCATTTGATGTGCCCAGTGCTGAGGCTTGATAATGGCTTTAAGAAGCCAACGGCAGATGAGGCCCTTCAGTGGAGAGGGAATTGGGGCTCGTGTGTAATTAAAGACAGAAGATTGAGCCAAGGCAGCGCAGGAGGAGGCACAATGTGAAGCTGAAGGGCTGAGCATTAAATGGGAAGGGGGCCCATGGAGAAGGGAAGTGAGCAATGTGGGGGGAATTCTCCCTCCTCTCCCTTGGAAGTTGGTATCTGAAGCTGCCTCTGCATCAGAGGTTGAGTTGAGGGGTGACGTGAGCACCTGGAGAAGCTTTAGCCTTGGACCAGGATCATGTGGAGGATGTCCCGGAGGGGAATGTCTTGGATCATATGAATGGGGCATGAAAATGTCCCATGTTCCTACTTTTCACATGCTCTCCAGTGTCATGTTTGTCCCTGGGGACAGGAGAAAGCCTTTTATAACACACTTAAAATTCAGAAATGGCATGGAAATACAACGGAGGGTTTGTTCTCTACAGCTGCCCAGATGTTCTGATCTCGCCGACCTTCAAAATGAAGTTTCTAGTTTAATTACTAAAAACGAAAAGCTGCTGAAAGAAAAAGAAGCCCTGAGTGAGGAGTTGAACAGGTGCATTGACAAGGTAAGACAGGTCTGCRAAGTCACGTCCCTGGCTGCGTGCTCTTCAAGGAGCTACTTAATTCTACAAGCTGTTCAATGCATATACTACTATCTGTATCACTTAGCTGTAAAACTGCTTTTTTTCTTGCCTACACACCAGATAAATGCCTAATCTCCACCTTTTTTTCCCTAGATAATCTTAAAGAGGAAGCTTAAAAGCCAGAGCACAGCTTTACTATAATTTCATTAGGTATCAAATTCCAAGCAATGCAAAGGAACATAAGGCTGGATACAGATATTGTAGGAAGAAAAGCAAGACCGATCTCACATTTTTATTGTAACCCTTGTGTGCTRTAAATTCATAATTCTAAACTTGATAATGATTTCTAGCATTAATCCCGTTGTGTGGAAGCTGAGAAGAAAGGGGACTTGAGGATTCTCCCACTTTTCCTTTGCATAGCTGTGACTCCATCTAGCTTAATGCTCCAACTGAGTTAGAAAATCCTGGATAATTCTAGTTTACGAATGTAATTTTATTTCAGGTAGCTAAAGTAAGCTGCTTAGAAACCACAATTGCCAGCTTGAAGCAGGAGCAGAAGACCTGGGAACAACAGAGCCAGATGTTGAAAACACAGCTCGCAGTTTCACARGAAAAGGTAAAATAGTGAGTGCTTGATAGCTGTGGATCAAAAAYGTTATTTAGTGTTTAATCTCTTGGGGATTTTTTCCTAAAAGTAGCTCTTCTAATGTATGTAAAGGTGTCATGCAGCTAGTGGACATTTTCAGGGCTTTCAGAGGGATGCTCTTAAAGACMAAGAGAGCTTGTGAAGTGCCATGAGGGTTTTCTTTAGCTGAGGATAAGCTATATTTTGCATCTACACCAAGTYCCATTGTCTATCCATTCTTCTCCCTTATCCCTAGTAAACCACAAAGCTGCTGCTTCCTACTTTTTTAGGTGGTAGCTTGTTCCCTACCAGTCATAGAGGGAGGAGTGACCTTCTGCTTGGCTGTTTGGGGCTCCTTGGTGGCCATGGGCTGCTAAGAAAAATAAACATTCAAGATAATTCTGTTTCTCTTAAATTGACATTAAATAGCCAGGAGTAGGAGACTTATTTGTTGAACGCAGCCTTTCTGCCATAACAAAGACTGTGCAGCTGCTGATTTGGAAGAGGATTTCAGAGAATTATTCAGCATTTTTAGGAGTCTGGCAACAATTTTTTCATTCTTTTTTATCAGAGATCCTAAATATTTGTGTGATTTTATTTATATGTATACATACATAAAAATATAAAATATATATAATCTTGGCAGATAAACTCACTTAACTTATTTACCATTGAAGTAGTTGATGTAGAACCATTATTTTCCTTCGAGTTGCTTGCAAGGGATCTTGCACAGCAAATGCAGAGCTGTGTTCCTGTGTTACAGGCTCAGAGTCTAGATGAAACGCTGCAAAATGCCAACCTCCAAATGTCCCGCCTAAACGCCGACTTACGGGTGGCCCAACAGGACAAGGAGACCCTTCGGCAGGAAGCCGTGTCCTTGCACAAGCAACTGCAGAACGCCCAGGAAAAGGTAACTCGGACTTCTCAGGAGCCTGGCATGCTCAAGTGGCACTGGTTTTGGGTTGAGCTGCTTCAAAATTGGGCAAAATTGTGTGTCAGAGCTTACATGTTTGTTAAGGGCTGCTTTTCTGTAGCCTCTTGCTGTATTCGTAGTTTTTTCAGGTTCTCTTGGAAATACAAGTGATAAATAGTCTCATAGAGCTAAAAGGAGATGGCTACAAAAAAGTCCTATTTTAATCCTGTTTTCTGTATTTACTAATTGTCCATTTTTWAAAAAATTAGCTTGCAAGATTACATATAATATACAGATTTATGATAACTTATTCTTAAAAATCTGTCTCTGGATGTTAGGGTGGTCCATGATCAATCTTCTACACTTTAACTATYGCTTTCTCTACAAGTGTTTGTGCTTCTCCAAAATAAGCCTTTCCCCAACATATCTGAATTTACACTTTGTCTATAGATATTGGCCTGTAAACAGCCCAACAACCAAACTAGTGACCGACARGGAGATAAAAAGCACAGTATTGCAAGAGCTTTTATTTTTAATTGATGAGCGACTCTAACTGAAGGAGGTTGTAGACTGCAGGCTTTTGATTAGTATTATGAATTCAGATAGCAATTATGCTTGTTTGCCSTGTAATTAAGGAATATTTAATGTGCATGGGGAGAAGAAGCTATTTCAGAGATGTATAACAGGAACTAAATTATAGCTATTACTGAATAATACATAATATTGAGTTCTATTATTTAGTTGATGGGGCTCTGAAAGAGTGCAAATTGCTTTTTTATATTGAGCTGTGTGCACTCACATCAACCATTCTGGCATTTAGCTATTTTCTGTGTTTTTGGCTAAGGGAAACACTTTGGATTTGCACTGTGGTGAGTTAGTTGGGTCCCTTGCTGAAAAATGATACGTAGCTGGGAGGAAGATGGGACTCCTTTAACGTAGGAGTCTGGTTACTGGAAGCCTCTTAAGCCCCCTCTGAATAGATAAAAATGTCTGCTGCTTTTTTTTAAGGCCTAACCCTGCAATTCTGTCTGTCTTAAGAACCGGGTTCTTGCCCTGGCTGTGCCTTCCTCAGGGCTGCAGGGGAAGCTGCCCTGGGATCAACTGGAGCAGCTGATGGAACAGGAGCAGCAGCTGCTAAGGCAAGAGAACGAGAGGCTGCAGAGAGAAGTGCAGAGCTCTAAAGCAGATCTAACCCATTCCAGGGAGAAGGTAACTTGAACAAGCTACYGGCTTCCAACGAGAGGTCACTGCATGATGGACAAACCTTAAAAATTCATTTTTTTTGCAGTAAATGACACAGAAGCAATGGGGTTCATTAGCCTGGAGCAGAAATGTGTGTAGAAAGATGACATAACAAGAAAGCTTTCTGCTGCTTTTGCACTGTGTTTATTAGAGAGCAGGCACTCTGAGGACATTTCATCATGGCACTTGTAAAGAAAAACCTGGATGTAACTCATTGAACGTTCTGGTCTGGCTTTTGGTTAGCGCTTTTTAAAAGTTTCTTAATGTTCCTAGCATTCTCAGGCTCTTTTTTTTTTTTTTTTTTGCCTCCCAGTTTTAGGCAAATTATGGGGAGGAGAAAAGCGAAGAATAACACAGTGCTGAAAGCTAAAGGTCAAAAAAAAAAACTAGAAACTATTACAAATAGCAAGCTRGTACTTGATATTTTAGATGAATTAGATGCAGTTTGATTTGTAGTCACTGCCAGGACTGTCACTTTTAATTTAGTGAGGTTTCCAACACTGCCCACTGTGAAACTGTATCTCAATGGGCTTTTGACTTTTTTTTTCCCCATCTCTGGTCTCTCTAGGTCCGGCAGCTGGAGTCTACCGTCCTTTCTCTGAAGCACCAGAAGCATCAAAGCCAGTCGGGCATCGTCAAAGCCATAGAGCAGGAGAAACTAAGTTTGAAGAGGGAATGCGAGCAGCTGCAGAAGGAGCTGTCCTCTGCAAACAGGAAGGTTAGTTTGGGGTGGTGGATCTGTGACCAGGGCCTCAGTGCAGCACTCGCMGCTAATAGGGCAATTTTCTCCTTTTCCTCAGTCTTGTGCGATGTCTCTTATTGCAAATCCCTGTCTCACGCAGGCTGCAGTCTTTTATTTTGCACCTCTTAGAGCATGTTACTATAGGGCTGCACTCTGCAATATGCTCCAGGAGTTCCTGTCAGTGCAAACAATTCAGGAGCAGAACGTGGGGCCCATAAACAAAATGCAGCCTCTTCCCAAGTGCTCTGCAATGCACAGCTCCCATATGGTTCCCATATGCTCCGTTCTCACGTTCAGAATCGGTTGCCCTGCCTGGTCTGACGCTTGTGCCAAGCACAGTCTGCATTTAGTCTTGGATGTTGCGTTTGGCAAAAGCATGTTGCACTTGTCCAAATGCTGGCTTATGGCTTGTGATCATGTGTTGTCCTGATTTGCTGTGATTCCTGACTCGTGTACTGAGTAAAACGGGCAAGGGGAGAAGCTGTCACCTCTCTAAGGAAAGTTCATGGCTCTCATAGATCAGTCAGATGAATTCTCTTGAACGCGAACTGGAAAGCAGCTCCGAAAACGAAGGACTGAGAAAAAAGCAGGTCAAGCTGGATGATCAGTTAATGGAGGTACTTTCCAAACATACTATATGGGAACTATATGATGGGGAGATCTTGATGAATGTATGAATCTTTATATTTTTTTGGAATGTGTAGAAACGTAAGAAAAGATAGACAAATTAATCTATTCTAACATCATCTAATCTCATCACCTTTAACAATCAAGATGTAGTATGACAAAGATGCTTCCATGAAGCACACGGTGGTTTATCATTTAAGGATTTAACTTACCATTTAAGGATTTATATTTAGAAATCAGATAGTAAGGAAATTTACTTTGGTGTAGAAATTCTTACTATGCAAATGGTTTGGTGAGTTTAAACCTTTCTTTCCTAGAGCGTGGTAGAATAACACATTGGGCAACTTACTGTTAGTCCAAAGGCATGAATGGAATTTAATTGAGATTCTTCCCAAGAAACCAGCCTTAAATGGATGCTTGCTTTTTATTACTAGAGTCAAATCACGCTGGATGCTAAATTACTGTGTCTTTCTCAGGTACCCTTGTCTACAGAATATAGGTATGCTTAAAGATAGTCTTAAGGTCAGGACAGAACTCTGAGTTGTCTCAGCAAAATTGCTCAAACTTGGTACCTTGAATTTGATTCAAAGGACAAACCAAAATCTTGATTTGTTCCATAAATGAAAATGTTTCAGATGAACAGCACTTCTTTTAGAAGAAGACTTCACTATTTTCATCAAGTAAGAATGAGCATTATGTTTATGCTAAACATAACATTAGTGCTAAACACTAATTATGCAATTAGAAGTGAAATTTTATTAGAAGAGACTGACAAGATATTGAAAATATTGCCTATATCTGCCCTGTGTCTTTGTGCTTAACTGTCTCAGTTAAGCTGCRGGGAAGTTCCAAAGCGTTAAACCTGCTCCTATAAGCACCAAGCATGGAAATGCATTTTCTCCTGAAATTCGTGTTTCACAACATGCGAGATCTTTGTTGCTCACGATGACCTTTTCCCAGCAGGTGTGTGTGGCACTCGGTTAGGACTTCCTAACTTCTCTCTTTTTGTGCCTGTTCTCCTTTTGTTCGTGGCTAACCTGTCTAGAACTCAGTGGTTGGAACTAGCAGAGAAGGGTGCAGTTCTCTCTCTGAAATAGTGTGCGAAGGTAGAGCAATCGTTTTTCAATGTCTCACCACAAGCATGGAGAAAATACATTTATTTCTTTTGGAGTGCATTTTTTATTTTATTATTCCATGCATCCTTTAAGTAAAGGAGCCACTATTCATTTTAATCTAATGTCCATTCTTTGGCAGCTGCACTAACATCTCTTCTGGAGCTCATATATTAGGAGATGGATCCTGTAGTATGCCAAGAAGCTGCATGTTCTTGAGGCCTTGTTATGGAAATGAAAAAACAATAAAAATTTTATTGTTTTTAAAATTTTAAAATTTAAAATTTTATTGTTTTTAAATAAAAAAAATAAAAATAGCGAACTATAAGAAAATGAAAAGTGGCTCCAACCCCTTCTAACCCATTGACTGTGAGACTTGAAGTTTTCATACTTACCTCTGATATCCTGCATGCTTTTCACCGGACTGCCAAAAGTTTCCTTAATATTAGCTGATGTGTGATGAGAGTCAATGTCATCCCCGCTAGCTTAGCGAGTTCATTACTGTTTTTCTCCTACAGATGAGCATGGCAACATTACGTTTTCCCTTAGCTATRCAGTTGGTATTAAGATGCTGTTAACAGTGACTGTCTCTTCAGTTCTTTCACTTTAYTAATGTATTTCATGATATTATAAGAAACCCTAGATAAATTCAACGTTGCTTCTGATCACCTTTTAGAGGATCTATTATTATACTGACAAAAGTTGATATAACACTCTTTTGATAGACTTTTCAATCACACTTTTTTGTTTTTAAAATACATGTTGCGTGTACCTGGGCCATCAGGAATGGATCCACTGAGGCCATAACATCAGCCACAGGCTGATGCTCTTGTCACCCTGACAGAGATGGGCTKTTAGGGCCTTACAACCACTTCCATTCTGAATGTCCTCAATAACTAAAGCACAATTGCTAGTTAAGGCCATAATGATAAGGTGTTTGAAAGAAAGTAAAATGACTAGCATAATCTCAGATAGCTTTTCCTACAGGAACAGCCTAAAGGTGGTGAGATTTCAGGCGAGAATTTTATGATATGGTTAACTGTTTTTTTACAGGAAAAAGTATTATCTGCACATTCTAGATGCCAATTGGCATATATGAAAAAACACTTTAGGAGGGTAGCGTTATAACCCGTTATAGTTGCAAACTAGGCTTTCCTGGATCTTTTCACATCAGTTTACAAAATGCTAAATAGCCCCATCAAACAAAACCCCGTTTTTAGCTCTCAGTGCAGCCCAACAGGGCATCTACCCCTGTGGGAGCCCATCAAACACTGGGTGCTCGTGGTTGGATCATCACCAGAAGAAGGTGACACCAGGTTCTTTTCTAGTCCCCTTCATGCAGCAGCTGAGATCATTGCCGGGGAGCAGGAGCATTAAGCCAGGGCTAACTGAGCCTCTGGGGACAAGTCTKCTCTGCGGTGGCAGCTTTGTTGCTTTGCTGTAAAAAGGACACCCRGGAACGTGATCCTCTTGTCCTTCCGCCCAGGAGTCCTGGCTTTACTCTCATAGAAGCTCCTTAGTTAGTATAGCTTGTGTTGCAGGGGACAAGCAGTATGTGCTTTGGCATGGGAACTTCTATATAGACCTGCAGATTTCATTAGACAAGCATTTTTTTTTTAAAGAAAGCAGAACTTAAATTTGGAACCATCTGCTTCAGCCTCCTAAATGCATCCAGATCCCAAAGGACCCTCCAGGCATCTACTCCTAGCTGTGTAGCACTGATGGGCATAAGGGGTCAAGGCTTGCGRCCAAGCTCTGCTTGTGGCATGACTAAAAATAATAATCACAGAATGCTCAAGGTTGGAAGGGACATCTAGAGATCATCTAGTCCAACCTTTCTGCTCAGCAGGGACACCTAGAGCCACCTAATAAAGTGGCATATGTCAATTTCTGCTGTTAACTGATAGATATGAGGCTGTATAAAGATAGATACGAAATTCTAAATACTGAATTCTGAACAGAATAACATCAAGTTACTAAAATCGCCATAACTGAAAACTTGTTTTGCTTTTAGCAATGTGTTTTCCCACCCTAGATGAAAGACTAGAAAAAAACGGCGCTTTTACACAGTTTGCTCAACCCACCTCGCACTAGCACTTTGGTTTGTAACTGGCCACTATATTTACAACAGCTCCAAAGATAAAGATTAAGATTAAAAAGCAATGCTTTTTAATCATAGCCAATCATAGGTCTGATCAACTTTTTGGAGGATTCATTCAATTGAGTGAGTTAGAGCTGAAAACTCAGCTTCCTTTAGACTTAAGCTGCACGTAAAGATAAGTCTTTATCACTGGGAAGAGAGGAGTTGTATTTAAGTTCTGTGCTCAAGCCTGTGTCTTCCGAGCCAGTGCTGCAGGCTGAGCTGGTACCAGCTAAATCCCGGATGCCAAGGCCAGGCTCTGGGGGGTGCTCAGGCCGACGGGCGCCGCCGCTGAGCCCGGGTTTCTCTCGTGGCGCAGATGGTGCAGGCGGGCGCCGGCGCGACGCGTAGCCCGGTCCCGCGCGGGCGGCAGCTCCTGCAGCGGCAGCTCCTGCAAGCCGAGAGGAGGGCTCAGCGCCTCCAGGACCAGCTCCAAAACGGGCCCTCCGACTCCAGCACGCCACAGGTAAAGCTCCCGTCACTCGGCAGGGTACGCTTGGAAAAGAGCGTTTGGGAATGCCTTTTTTTGGGTTTGTTTTTGGTTTTGGTTTTTTTGTTTTGTTTTTTTTTTTTTGTTTTTGTCTTCTGAGATCCTTTCTCTGTTTATGCCACTTCAGAAACTAAAATTCTTTGCATCAAAGAAAGATGTGCACAAAACAAACCTTTGCTGTTTAGCTGGAGCCTTAGCCTAATCTGCATTCCTCTTCATTTTCTTCATGTTAAAYGCTCCTATCCACACTTAACTGGCCCTTCTCCTTCTGATCTCTGTGCAGTAACTCTTTAAAGCTTTTTTCCTTTACCTAATGTCCATGTCTGAAAATATTTAGCTTTTAAAAACACAAGTATTGCACAAGCACACATGCCTGAGACACAAAGTATAAATTCCATCGCATGGATTTCTGTTATATCAGATATAGTAAAGAATAATACAACCAACTGATCCATTTTATAAGGACGGCCTGTCTCCATTATTTGGTCATGGTAGGACTTTGTTTGGAGAACAATATTATACAAAAATTTCAACATTGACTTTTTCTGAGGGGGGGGAAAGAACATCTAATTCCAAGAAAAATGCAGATGCGCCACATATTGGGCTTAGTGGCTTGCAGTATTTTATTTTTTTCCTAATGGGAGATTTTAAAACACATTATTTCAGAGTCCAAGTCTTTGAAGGTTAAAAATCTCTGGATGTGCCAATAGGTATTTTTAAAAAAGGATATTACGGAGAGACTATATAGTGATATTTTCTGAAGTGTTTAAAACTTGGAGTAAGTTGATTTTATGCCTTGATATCAAAACAGTTCCCCCCAAAAGATAGCAAATAAAGGGTTAATCACAATAAATGCAAGGGTCTCCCTCTCAGCTGAGTCCTGATCAAAGTGCTTTCTCACTGGCTAATGTCCTTGGTCACTTGCAATGAAAAGTGAAGCGTGTGGTTTAATTTGGAAATCAATAAGAGCAAGATTGCAGCGATAGCATCTGCAGCTGAGTGTGCTGTGCACTGCATTAGGAGCAATGACTGAGCAATTTTGCCTTTGAAAACCCAAGAATCAATTTACAAAACAGGCACATCCTGGAAGTGTTGTTCTGAAGATACAATTTATGCACCTCATGTCAAAAACAAATAAAAGCTTTTATCTTGGAAAGGTTTGATTTGAAAATCCTTCTAGAGTCTTTGCAAATATTTGCTGTCAATGCACTTAAACCTTTGAACTTTGAGCAAAATCGATATTAAAAAGAAAGTAAATGGATATTAACAAGATTCTAGTTAACATCTGCTACAGCTGTTCTCGTGGGCTTTCTAAATAACTGTCTACAATCCCTGTTACATATATATATATATTTATATTTATATAATATTATCACTCTAAACAAGGCCAAACTTGTCAGTGCTTTTAGTTGGGTACAAACAAAAACGCTTCTGTCAGCACATCTCGCTTTAATTGTCATTATTGTTGCTTTTATCAAGTCGTCTTAATTCTAGGATTAACACTTAGTTGAGCTTATGTCCATTTTAATATCCCGTTTAGCTTCTTGAATAATTGCATCCTAATCCCTCCTCTTCACCTTTCCACCAGTGAGTACCACGGGAGGGTATCCCTGCTTTCCGTGTCAGTTGAACCACCTAGTTTTGCTGCTGCTGCTTTGTACTTTGCAGCGCTTTTGGCTCCCTTCTGTGTAATGAGGTATCCAAAGTTATCCCCTTCCTCTCTGGAAATATTTTGTGTTCCTCGTGCCTGGCATTTTTCATTGCTTCTCGGTCACAGCTTTGGTCTCTTCTCATGCATTTTCCAGTCATCCCTGAGCAGTCACCCTGCAGGGTTACTGGTCTGTCCTAAGTTCAGGTTTCACTACATTAAAACTCTTGACCCTTTTCTGTTATTTTAATGTCTGGACTCTTCAAATCCTGGATATTTCTTTCTGTTTTCTTATCTTAAGATACTTTCCAACCATACAGTATCTATCATTGCCTTGTTTTCTTGTTCCTTACTCAGTAACTAGACTCGAAACCTGTCACCCCATTTTGCTTTATGTGCTACCTATTAGACCCTTTGAAAACAGATATATTTTGTATTYGCAGCACTTGGAATTGCTAGTCTCCTTATTTAATTCAAATAATACTTCGAATTAAAAGTAGTGGCCCCTCTGGCCAACAGTCCTTTCACCTGCCCTTAAACAAAAAGACTTGTACGCTCATTTAAAATAGAAATGCAAGTGAGGTGGGTTTTTCCTTGTTCATGGGAGGTAGATTAGGCTTTCATAAACGCCATTCAACAAGTTAAAGTTCTTATGTAGTRCTAGATATATTTATGAGAGGAAATTAACAGCTTTGCTAACTGCAAGTACTAATCTTCTAAAGTTACCTGGCCTTAATTAAATACCCCAAGGTGCTGACGAGCCCTCCGAAGAGTCCTTGYATCTAGAAAAGGCATTTGGAGCCTCTCCTCTGCTGCACGTTAGTGCCAGCACTAATATTTAGACAAACACAACCCGTGATGCCCCCCGCATGCTTTTTCACGTGTGTTTCTGCTCGTCTCGCTTCGCTTGCTTAGCTCGTGCTTGCGCTTTGCGTTACCAAAGTGTGCGTTAATTTATGGTTTTCATTAAAATCTCGATATCAGGGTGAATGTCCCCCTTCTTTCCCCAGGCTTTGCTCCCGGAGCAGCGAGCAGTGCATGCCGATGCCTGCAGGAGGATCGGGCACCCCTGACGGCGTGGCTGCCCGCGAGCGCGCCCCTGCCCCTCACCGGCACGCACCGGCTGGCATCATGAGCTGAGAAACCTGGCCAGCCAATTACCCCGTGCATTTTTTCCTATTTCCAGTGTTATTTCCTATTTATTTGTCCGGAAGCTCCTTTGTGAAAGCTCACGCCTGTCCTTTTTAATTTGCTGCGAAGCGTTTTTATTTATGTTATTTAAAAAGTGGATTTGTTCAATGTGGAGAGAGAAACTATTTTTTTTCCTCAAATGGTACTAATTTTATAAGAGATTTGAAGAAAAGCTGGGGGTATTTATACTGCCTTTTTTGTATGAGATGTATAAACTTTTTAAAAGGGAAAGATGACACTTTTGATGTAAATGAAAAATAAAATTTTTTTAAACAATCTCTCTTGTCTGACTAGTATTAATAGTATTAACAGCTAGATGATCTGAAACTTGTGTTTTTGTTACTGGAAGTTGGCACATCAGGATTTTTTGGACAGACAGCTGCTTTTCAGCAAGATTTGGGCCTGTGTATTTGAGAACAGAATTTTCACAGGACATAGACGTGTCCTATTGCTGTGCCTACAAAGTAACCATGGGAGGGCCTGAAAAGGGGGAAGTTAATCAGTTTCTCCAATGACACTCCTTCAATCCCTTGGTGCTTTTTCCCTTTTGTCTTAAATTACTGTGCTAAGCTATTTTTTAAATATTTTAAGAGGTCAGCGAAACACAGCCTCTCATTTTTCTCATTGAGAGCAATAAGCCTTGTCAGTCCTCTGCTTACAAAGATATTTTAGTTCATGTTTAGTTCACTAAATATCTTACAAAGATATTTAGTTCATGTTATTCATGATCTAATAGCTTAATGCTCGAGTTGGTTTCTTTTAATAAACATGAAATAAAAAGGTTAGCTAATTTAAAAATGATTTAACAGCAAAAGAGGAATTGCAAATCTTGACACTACCCATTCTTGAAGTTTCCACTCACCTACTGGGAGCCCCTGCAACCAAATGAAACATATTTGGCCAGGATTTCAAATTCCAGACAAGTTACAGAAGATAACTGAGAATAACTTGGCTGAAGTACTGCAAGTTCTACTTAGAGAAATACAGTACTAATCTGCTAAAACATCCTGTCCAATTCTGCAAAACTGCTTTCTGTGTGGCTCAATTACCTTTTAAAAAATTCTTTACGAGCTCTGAGAACATATAACCCTGTACATGCAGTTGCTGGTGCCCTGTTAAATGAAATGGTGAATAAGTCTCAGGCTTTTTCTACAGTGGTTTAGATAGAAACAAAACAAGCAGGAGACTGATTTGTTGTATTTATCACCCTCCACAGAAATAAAGGGTTTTTTTGTGTGTGGGCTGCTTGAGAGGGGCAGTGCCTTATCAGGGTTACACTTTTTAAGTGATTTCCTAGAATTAGGGTAAAAAGACAGCATTGARATATCGAAAGAACCCCTTTGCTTACACTCRTGCTCTGGTGTTCCCCCCTGCAAASAAGCTTCCTTCTAKGCATTTGTTGGCATTTCCAATTATTTAGGAAGACATCACTGGGTGGTATAAAAGGCACACTCGTGCCCCAGTTACTATTTGATATGGAGGAGTTATCCTGTCAAACCAACCTGCCTTTAGGGCTTTCCCTTAATTATTTTACTAAAGTGATTAAGCTCTCAATTAGTACTTTGTTTCCCAAATGCAATTGAGTGGCAGCAATACGTGATAGCCAGCAAAGGAAACGATCTAGATCTGATTATTGCAGTCCAAACAGAATTTAATTCTGTGTTGCCTTGTCTTTGATCTGGTAATCTAAAGGATAASTTAGATTTTGAAAACTGTTTTAATGTCCTTTACATGTTGCTCTAATGCTTTGCTTGCATGAGCTGTGTGCTGGCTTAGTCCCCTCTTTAAACCAGACCCAAATGTGGAGTGACAGCTCTTCTCTAAAGCATGAACTGAAAAGACTGGTACATGTAAACTGGCTTTTTTATTATTATTATTTTGTTTTTATTTTTTTCTTAACTGGTTCTCACACAAATGTTTCTTTCTAGGGAGGTCATGAGCAGCTTCTAAAGATGATGGAAGAGCGTATGATGGATGTGGAACAGAAACTCAGGCTTGTGAAGAGGCTTCTCCAAGATAAAGTAAATCAGCTGAAAGAACAAGTAAGCAGCAGCCTTGCTCTCTTCCCTAAATTCTGCCTGTAACCTCTGTAAATGACTAAACCAGTCAAAGCCACTAAGTTTTGCCTTGAGTAAATGGTGTTTTCCTTTTGCTTTCRGTGTTTTAGAGCTAAAACGCAGCGTATGTACCCCCACATTTTTAAAAATCCCAACTTGAGAACCGGTTCTGCTGCTTAGTTTCTAAAATTTCTGCTTGTTTGCCATGCTGGTATCCTTAAAGACAGGAAGAAAACGTTAAATTTGGGCCAGCTATCTTCATTGGAAAGAGTTATACTTAGATTAGGAAGGAGAGGGAACGATTCCTACAGATTATTGACAGGATTAATCCATGAGCGTTTCCCACCACTGCCTCCCTTGCAGTGTTTGTTAAACAGCCACCTGCTTTTCCAGGAACTATTTATTTTGTTTGTTTTTGTCTCCAAGTCATTATGTTTTACTCGCACTTTAGCTTTCCAAGAACACTAAAGCAGATGCAATGGTCAAGGATCTCTACGTGGAGAAYGCCCAGCTGCTGAAGGCGCTGGAGGTGACAGAGCAGCGGCAGAAAACGGCGGAAAAGAAAAACTATTTATTAGAAGAAAAGATTGCCAACCTCAATAAAATAGTAAAGAACCTGGCTTCCCCCTCCTTCAGTCCGGCCTCTGAGTTGAGGCCGTAGCCGTGAGTACACTGCAAGCCCCCAAGCACTTTACTGAAATGTTAATATTTCAGCTCTTCACTGTTTTGCCTTTTTTTACTGCTGGATTTTAGTTAACAGATGCCTCCGAGGAGAGGACAGAGCTAAACTCCAAGCAGGTCACTGCCAACTTCTGTCTATTCCCAAACTGTTCTTCTAAATTTCGCCTAAACCTAGATGTGCAAAATGGCAGATTAATTTATTCTGGTGTTAATACTTTGAAAATGTTTTGAAATATGATTTTACTGTGCTGAATTGGTTATTCCAATATAGATTGAAATTAGGCTCTAAAGCTTTGAAGTTAATGAATGCAATGTTTAAAAATATTTTTGGACATCTAGAGTACTTTGTGGTTCAAACCTACTGATATTGGTGGATTAATTTGAGCACTGTCAGTGTAATTGTTTTTGAAAGCCAGAGTTCCTGGATGTCCCTGTCCTGCAAACTGTTATTTATCTGAAGCAACATGCTCTGAGTTATGYATTAAGCATCTACATTTCTGCAGAGTTTAGGGGAAAAAAAAAAAAAAGAGTTTTTTTAGAAATATGTAAATAGACTAGTGCCTCCAACCAAACATAGCAGCATTTCTTCTGAAGAAATTACCTAGCTGGCAAATGAGATTACCGGGCATTTTTATTTTTGTTTTTTTTAACTGCACTGCCAGGCAACTTATACTGCAGAGGCCTTAAATTTTCTGCATGTGGAAATAAGTTATCCTAAGCAATGGGAGAATCGCCGAACAGAAGCAGAGAGATGTGTCTAAATTCTCTAAAGCGGTGGATTATGTTTATAAAGAGTTCCCAGGAGAGGAGAGACCTGCGTGATGGGCTCGGTGGACCCTGTCGTGGGGATTCCTAGAGAAGGTCCTTTGCTCTTCAAGCCCTGCTGTGTCTGACCYGGGTGAGAATTTGGACGTGCCTGTGGTTTCCAGATGTTAGTCTGTATTAGATGCTCATCTACGCTTGTAATTAATTGTGAGGAAACATATTCAAGGTGAATGTGAAAAACTCAGGGAGTAGCAACTAGTTATCTGATGTAACTAAACTAGTTTCCTGCACTTGTTATGAACATGGATGTCAATGGATGAAAATGATCATGTATCGGGAAGAGAAACCAAATTTATTTGGTTGAGTATTACCTGAGCATGCTCCTAGATGAACGTGCACTAATGGTGCAGGCAGGATGGCCAAAGAACATGGTTTGTAATGGGTGATATTGCCCATGGGAGCAATTTCTGAGGCTAGGGAATGCAGGTTTTCTGGGAACATGCTCAAGATTTGAGATAGGTCTGAGGGAGAAATAGCAGAAAGAGAGCTCGCCTGCTTGTATAAACCATGGCTGCAGCCTAAACAAAGATGCTATYGCTCCCTCTGCTCTCAGGGCAGTAATAAGACATATTAGCTGTAAATACAACTGGAGAAAGGGGCCACAGGGGCACTACTTGAAACTGGCCTTCTTGATGTGCTGCATAAGGAGCGTATGCAGAGAAAGAGGGTGAAAGGCTCTGTGTCTGGGACTGTGGGTGCAGAGGGGCAATGAGGGCAGCGTTTGTGAGGAGCCGGTTGCCCCCCTGGAATTGGAGACTACCCACGGGAAACGGGGCTTTTGGTCCCCCCGGCACGCAGCTCTAAAGCCCACCTGCTAATTAGAGGCTTGAGGGAGCAAGCTGTACATCTAGGGTTCGACCTTCGTCTTCCTTCCCTCCTCCTCCTCCTTCAGACGCAGTCTAAGACCTATTAAAAGAAGAATGGGATGGTTTCAGAGTGGAATGGTTTCAGAGTTGTTTTTTTTCTTTCCTTGCAGCTGCATGCAAGAATGGATCATAAAGATGCAGGTGAAAAGTGTAATCATAAAGAATCCCCCTATTTTTGTTGTCGTTGAAAGGTCACTTTGAGTATACGGGAGTATATTTACATTAAGCAAATCTTAAAAAAAAAAAAAAAAAAAAGATTTATCAAAACAATAATGGAAAATTACCTTGGCAGAACACAATCTCTATACGCTGTATCACAACCATGTTATTCTAAATATCTGTAATGACTATTTTTCTGAGTAATCTCAATTTCAAACATTTGCATATCCCTTTTTTTTTCCTCCACAGTCTGCAAAAGTTTTTATTACAAATTCAAAGTAGCATTGAGATAAACTGCAGCTTTTTTTTTCATGTTTTAATGTAAGCAGGAAGATCTTGTTTCTTATAGTGACCAATAAGTTTTACCAATTACAGAACGGCTCTGTGGGKGGTATCCAGACTGCACATTAGCAATAGGAAGCACACACCCTGAAAGCCTATGCTGAGAAAATTAGTGATGCTGACGAGTATTAATACTCTTAAAGACCATTTCACGTCTTGATCTAGGTTTACTTGCAATACTCAACATGGGACCGAATTGCAAATTGAACAGAGGGAGCGAGTATTTTCTTAAACTACTGTGGAATTACTTTGAAACAACTCTTTATAAAGACTAGACTACTCACGTAATGTTTTTAGTTTTAAGCTTTAGTTTTTAAACAAACATATATTTCTAARATACGGTGCCAAAAAGGGAGTCCTGATAAGAGGTTAACAGCGGAACACTAAGGAGAAACAGAGAAAAGGGAACTTGACTTCTCCCTTTCTCATTCTGTTCTATCTTACCCTACTTTTCTTTCACTTCGCTTTAAAAAATTCAACTGATCATGGAAGAGAACAGGAGGAGAAGGACAGAGGAGAATAAACGTGTTTGGTAAATGTGTTTTAGACCAAACTCCACTTTCAGTAGAGTATTTCTGTGAATGAATTCTCAAAAGTGCCTTTTGTAATTATGTGAGATAGAGTTTTTGTGTACTGTATTTTCTGTTGCTACAGAGCAATTCAGGACAATCCTTTCCAAAATAGGGTGAACTCAGAGACTCGTGCTGCTTACARACCAGTGTTATGTTGTATATAGGTTGAGTATGTCAGCTCAGCAGTTAAGCAGCTAGTGTTATAAAGTCCAAGAGAGTGAAAACAAATATACAAACACATAAACCCTTAAGCATTTGTGATGATTCATGCATGCGTGTCTCCTATGCAATAAATGCATTTTAACAATACCAAAGTATTTAACAGTATCATAATAGGCAGTTAAAAATATATATATATTGAATTCCTGAGCCTTGTTCACACAATAGGACTGGCCAATTAAGGTATTAACTGCTGTACTACTAAAAGGTGTTTTAAGTGTTTTTAACTGTTCCTTTATGAATCACTGTGAAAATAGAGGCTCAGGGGTGTTCGGCATGGGGAATTTTGAGCGAGGAGGTGGAGGAGGCCGGGCAGTGTGTGCCCAAGTCAAACTTAGGTGTTAAATCTACACAGCTCGAGCAGTACCTGTCCATCRAGGATGGTTTAAAAGTACACATTGCCATGCGTTTACCCAATATTAAACAAAATTACTTCTWTTCTGATGTAAAAAGGGACTTGTTTTTAGCTGTTTGGAGATTGTGAGGTGCAGAAGGGGAACCTTTGCCTGTCACAGATCAGTAAAAGCCTTTATTTAGCTTTCGGCAAATAACATCTCCTTTGTAACTGTGCTGTGCTGTCTCCCGCGTCCTGTTAAGTCTCCTGTTTTCCCTGTCCATGCTGTCATTAGTGACAAATGACTTCTGTATAAAGAAAAAAATGTGTTTTTTTTCTACCGAGTTTGTTTTGTTTCAGTGTAATATATTGTCCTTATGACATCAGGTAAAGCCCAAAAGTGAACCAACTTGTACATTATTTATAAAGAATGTAAAAAAAAATAAAATTCTGTAAGCTTGTTTTTTTTATTTGTCCAACTTGAAAATATTCCATTATCTACCAGTGGAAAATGTATTTTTTTTCAACAGCTTATCTGAAAACTCAGAAATATACGAGCAAGAAAGAGAGAGGACAGCTTGCCAACCTCTATAAAATCAAGTACTAAAAAGCTAATGGGCTAGTGAACTTAWATTTTTAAGACGTGCTTGCTGTCAATACCCATTCTTTGACATGGAGGGGAAACTGAGCRCTTCCCTTCTTACTGCTTTGACATAAATGATCAAAGCAAAAAGATAAACGTTATGTTTGTCGGTAACTGCGGGTGCTTCCTGTGGGAAGCACAGAGGTGCCGCGGCCGGGCCGGGGTGTAACAGCCAGGGCAGAGCCGCGGGGGGCTCTGAAGGGGGGATCTAGACCCCAACCCCCTCGCTGTGCCCGGTCCCGTGGCCGGCAGCGCTCGTCCAGCCCTGGACAACGYGCGGCCATCCCGAGGGAACCGCTCTGAGGGGAGAGCAGGCCGCGCACCCCCGCCAACGCGCCTCCCCCGTTCTGCGCATGCGCCTTCCCCACACGCCAAGGAGAAGGGAAGCGCTGCGCATGCGCCCCCCCACCTCGAAGAGAAAGCAAGCGCTGCGCATGCGCCCCCCACCTCGAAGAGAAAGCAAGCGCTGCGCATGCGCCCTCTCCCCATGCCGAGCAGCAGGGCTGTACTGCGCATGCGCACTCTCCCCATGCTGAGCAGCGGGGCTGTACTGCGCATGCGCCCTCTCCCCATGCCGAGCAGCGGGGCTGTACTGCGCATGCGCTCTCCCCACATGCCGAGGAGGAGAGCGCTGCGCATGCGCCCTTCTCCCTCGGCGAGGCGCGGGGCTGCACTGCGCACGCGCTTTCCTCGCGGCCGCTCCCCTCCCCGCCGCGCGGGGGCGCGCGCTGCCTCCTGCCGCCGCCAGGGCGGGGGCCCGTCTCCCACAAGCCCCCGCGGCGCCGAGCGGGGCACGTTAACGGCGCGCGCGGCTCCCTCCGCCCTCCCCCCGCCCACGCCGCCATGGCGCCGCGCGTGAGGCGGCCGCGCGTAACGGCGGCCGCGCGGGAGGCGGCCGCGGGCTGCCGGCCCTGAGCGGCGGCGCCGGGCATGCGGGCGGCCCCGGMGGCAGCGGCGGCGGCCCGGGAGGGGGGATGCTGTCGCGGAAGAAGACKCGCACGGAGCTCTCGAAGCCCGGCGAGGTGCAGGGCAAGTACGTGAAGAAGGAGACGAGCCCGCTGCTGCGCAGTGAGTGTCCGGGGCACCGGGGCGCTCGGTACCTCCCTGCTCTGAGGCGTTTTCCCGGTGAACGGAAAAATGTCATCCTGTGGGCAGCGAGGAGTGGCGGGGCTGAGGCTGAGAGAGAGGCGGGACCGCACGGCACACTGTAAACAAACCTTTTTTTTCCTTTTTCTTTTCCTTTTAAAAAGAAAAAAAAAAAAGGCCCAGTTGCTTGTTCTCAGCAGGCAGCACCGAAGTAGCCTTCAAAGCCGGTATCACCGAGATGAACCGCACGGTTTATCCCAAAAAAACCCGCTCTCCCAAAGTCTGGGGTATCCCAGTGCAGGCCATGCGTGTGCGCTCCGAAAAGGAGGTAACTGTGCGCACGGGTGGCAGAAAATCCCTGTGGAAACAGGGGCTGCACCGCCAGCGCACCCGGCCTCAGAGCTGCGCCTTCCCTTTGGGTTTGTGTTTTGCTAGGGTTTTGGGGAGGAATGGCTGAAG